AGGAATGGCTGTGGAGACAATGCCTTTCTGCTACTGCCTGCGTCCTCAGAGAGGCTGCGTCCTGTTAAGGCTTTCTCTGGCATGGAAAGTCTGTGCTCTTAGGGACCTCCTGGCGTGTCCTGTTTTGCCTCTGCATGGGAGGCCTCTCTGTGGTGGCTCGGTGGTGGTGGGGATATTGGTGGCTCTGCCAGGTCCTAGAGCATGGCTGGCCCTGCCTTTGGCCTAATCCCCACATCAGGCCATGCAGTAGGCATGGCCAGCCCCACACCAGAACATGAGCGTGAGTACAGCCTCACGTGGCATCTGGTGGCTCAAAAAGCACCTGCTGTGTTCTAAATAAATCTGACATAGTATAATCCAAATGGGAGAGCAATAATCTCATCCCACAACTGTTAAAAGATGTACAGCAGCTGATCTGCTGCATTGTGTCCCGTGGTGTTTGCTAAACAGTGCACATATGTGCAATCAATTGCTCATTACAGTTATCACACATGGCACAGATACAAGCAACTGTGGCGTTACTAATTTCCCCTTGACCCCATGCTGTCATTACATGGTGGCAGTGTGGGCAAGAACAGCGTTTCCCGATTCATTGCTAGAGTGAGGGAGACATTTTGGTCTGTTCCCTAAGGAAAATACTCTCTATCAGTTTGTAACTGCTGTTCAGGAAGACATAGGACTGCAGCATCCCAAAACCAGGCTCTGAGTGACTCTGGAGGAGGTAACAATGCATCCTGAGATGTCCCAAAGGTGTTCTGACAGCAGCAGCAGCAAACTGGGAGAGGCTGCCAGGAGCCAGCTAGCCTGTGTGGGTCTTCCACCCTGTATTGCTGTCACGTGGTTGTGATGGCAAGGAAGGCTCCTGGGGGTGACCACAGCCCCCAGCCTGCAGGGCACAGCAGGACAGATTCTGCCTCCAGTTCCCCTATATTGTAGGTGGCTGCAGGTGAGCTGATCAATGCCTAGTGGGTAAAGCAAGCCAGAAAATTCGAGGAGAACAGCTTGTGTATTTCAGTCACTAGCAGGCACCCAGTTCACAGGACAGAGTCTGACAGAAGCTCTCCAACATGAAGTGAATGCACACTGGGCTCTCAGAACCTGGTGGCCTGCTTTGTGGGCCTGCCCAGCTTGTTCAGGCCCACCTGCTCTGCTCCTGGACCTGCTGCTTCCTGCCTGGGGATGGGGTGGCCACAGGGATGCTCAGCACATCCTCCTGACATCTATTCGCTCTGACAGTTAAAGTGGAGCCAAGAGTGATACTTGCATCAGGCGCAAACTGAAGCGTGTGCTGTATATAAACAGCATGCCCTAGTTCTTCACCCTCAGGTTCCCCCTGCTCCTTCCTGCTGAGGGGGGCAAGGAAGAGGAGGACAGCTGCAAGTACAGCATCTCTGCCTAGGCTGAATTCCTTAAAAAGGCCCATTCCTCCAGTGAGGGCCCTGATACCCTGTTTTTGATGTGACTATGCTGTCCTCCATGGGGTATTTTTTCCCAAGCCAACTATCGTTCCCACGAGAGCTCGGGGTGCTTTTTTTTTTTCAGCCCATTAATTTTCATAGCGGAGGAGAAGAACCTCACACTGGCGGCGCAAAGCCGATCCCCGGCGGGCAGCGGCGGGGCCGGTGGCGCCCTCTGGCGGCGGCCGCGCCCGTGTCGGCTCGGGACGGAACGGGGCTCTCCCGGCAGGATTCGGGGAAGTGCTGGGCTCCCCGCCGCGCTGCAGCGTGGGTGAGGGGAAGCAGAACCATTTAGGGTTCTGGTTTGCCCTCCCGAGGCCCCAGTTTCCGAAATCCCATTTCGGTTTAAAGATAATGCTGTAGAGTGTCTCAGCCCTCCTCCCTAGCCGTGAGCTCTAGCGTTTCTGTGCCCGTGTGTGTGTACGGGAACACGGCAGAAGAGAGATGGAGACAGCAGGTGAAATTAGGATCTTGTCAGAAAGCAATCGCTGGCTCCCGTAGCCTTCAGATACGACAGATGTGACTTCTAAAAGCAGAGCTGTGATTTAGATTTTATCTGAAAAGAAACCTGCACCCTGCAGCTGCATTTGGCACGTGACATTTGGCATGGTGAGAAAGGTTCCTGAAATACTCTGTGCAGAATTTTTGCTTTAAAAAACACACTGTACCTATCTTCACCTGTAGTAAGAGACTCATCTCTACCAGTTTTAAATATTAGCCAGCTTACAGTGGAAACACTACAAATGGAATCTTATTGGAGAAAATCCCAACAGACAATCACACCAAACATTCTGACTCTGTGGCTAAAACTTTATCTCTAAAACTTTATTAAAGTGTCATTCTGCAAGGCGCGCAGCATTACAGGTGGTTTGAGAAAAGCAATAATCTTGCTTCAAAAGCAATACTATAAATGATAAATATACTAAGTAACATCTCCATTACAACTTTCTGGCTGTTCTGAGGAAACCGTTGGTGTCATTTTTTACCTAGGTTTTACCTCGCTTCAGATTTGAAGGTCTGGAGAAATGTGCTTATTCTGTCACTGTAAGGCAGAAATAGACCATAGTGCTCAAAAGTGAGCTTGTATCACTAAAAGCAATAAAATACAATAAAATAAAAATTGCTGTTAGGAATAAGAATTGTTAAATTGGAGAAAAGATGAAAGTAGAAGATGGAAAGAAGAGGAAGAAGAAATGCCTTTGTAGGGTGTTGTATCATTATTAAACAGACAAGAATAATTTTAAAAGTCAATTAGAACAACAAGGAAAAGTCCTCAGGCTGGAGATTTCCAGGAAACCATGTAGCAATAAAACCACAACTGAATCCAGACAAAATCCATCTTATGGATCATTTTAATACATAGTTATTAAAAATTTCTTATTCAGTAATCTCTCCAAAAAAGGCAACCCGGGACTCTTTCGATGAGCTTCTTCAAAAATAAACCTTAAAAATCAAGTCCATGGAGCAACCTCCTGGATTTCCTTTATTTACTCCAGCAGTGCAATTAGATGCCGTGAAAACAAACCCTCTGATTTCCCTGGGTAACACGCCATGTCATGTATGTGAGGAAAGCAAAAGAGCGGCGGCAAGTCTGTGGTTTCTGACAGAGAGAACTTTCTTGTTGCAGGGGAGAGATATCAGCCAGGAGTGCTGGCTGCAGTCCTGCAGTTGGACCCATCACACCCGTCCTCTGTGTTCCCACTGTGCTTCTGGACTCAGCAGCACTACGTGCTAAGTGCAGGTGTCTGTTCCTGAGGACCGGGGAACTTCCAGCTAGCTGCTGCAGAGGATGGGTTCACCTCCATGTAAGTTCTGGAAGGGGAGCAAGATGTTTCCACAAGGGAACATTATGTCTATTTTCAGACCTCCTGCTCTCTCACTCAGTCTCACTGAGACAGTGCTGAGCACCATGTGCTTTGGCGTCTCTCCAGCTACCTGCTGACACCAGGCTGCTGAAAGTCAGCATGCTCCACATTGCCCTAGTAAGAAAACTTCTTGCATGTTTTGTAGGCACTGTCCAGTAGCTGCTGCTGCAGCTACTTATCCTGCTCAGAATCAACTTAAATGTTGCATTACAAATGTGGCCTCTCAGTGCCGTTTGCAGCACCACTGAGTGCAGCACTTCAACCATGAAATTTCTCCTGCACCCCTTCAAAGGCCTTCATAGACTCCTACAATCACAGTGTGTGTTGGGTTGGAAGGGACCTTAAAGTTCACCCAGCCCCAACCCACTGCTGCCACCCACCAGCTCAGGCTGCCCAGCACCCATCCAACTTGGCCCTGAGTACATCCAGGGATGGGGCACCCACAGCTTCTCTGCCAGTGCCTCACCATCCTCTGAGTTAAGAATTTCCTCCTAATATCTAATCTAATAATCTCTTGGCATGCTCAGAACACACAGGTCCAGGAGGCAGATGTGTGCCTGAAGCTCCATGTAGATGGACGATGTTCTGGATGTGCCGCTCCCTTCAAATACATACCTTCATCGCTAGTGAGGCCATGCAGACACTTCTCATTGCTCTGAGGGTAAAACGACTCCTGAGCAGAGCTTTCCAGGACCTTCACACTGAAGATTCTGTCACTTGTGAACCGGCACCTATTGTTAGATCTAGATTGACTTGTAGATGTAATGTATGGAACTCTGTTAGTCCTGCAAGCTAGACTCAAACAATAAAGTCCACTGCAGCATGTAGCTGCCATGGTGCTCTGAGAGAACTTCAGCCTGAGCTGTGTGCTTCAGAGTCACCTCTGAATGGACCCCTCTGCAGAGGAGATTGCTATGGGTCACAGCATGGCCTGCTAATGCCTTCAGTACCTATAGAACCACGTATTTCTGCCAAGGCTCCAGAACAGTGACTTTTGCTTTTGTGGTGTCAACCTAGCCATCACTAGTACTTGTGGTGGGAGACAATGCTTTGTACCCCATTGGCAGGGAAAGAAACTGAGTGTGATGCATGGTGGATCTTTTTCTCCCATCTGGGATGCTCTGACTCAATGGAATGCTCTGAAATTACCTATGGGGTTGGGTGAAAGCAGAGGAAGTCAACCTGTGGAGTGGACTTGTTCATGAGCAAGCCATTCTAAGGAATCAGGCTAAGCAAAGACACTATGGGCACTTCTGTGAATCAGACATCTGGGCACTTCTGAAGTTCCCCAAACAATCAAGGGGCAATAATACATTGAGAACAAATCCAATGTTCTCTAATGATGCTGGAAGTCCAGGAGTAATCGTGACATCTTTTGCATTCACTGTTCACACTATTTCAGCAAGTCTGGAATTTGGGATCCTCGTTGGGAAAAACTTGACTGAACTTGCATCTTTGAGTTTAATTGGTTTTGCTATCGAACTGCATAGCACGAGAGAAAATAGCATGAGGAACAAAAAGAAGGGGTTGGTTAAATGTTTTCAGTGGCATTAAAGCACATTTCAGTACAGCTGAAATCATTGTGCTCGCACCTGTGTATTGTGCAAGTGCTAAAGAAAAGATTTGTAAGGATTAAGAAGTTGGTGTCTCTCAGAAGCAGTCTGTTGTCAGTAGTTATTTATGAAGACAGTGGATATATTTCCTCGTAACGAGGAGGTGATAGTTCTTCACAGGGGTCTTCCAGAAGTTCTTCTGGCTCATCAGAGCTGTCTTCTGATCTGATAATAGGAAGAGAAGAGGATGCAAAAAAATAAAAATAAAAAAATAAAAAAAAAATTCAAACACAGAGCATGAAGCAACCTCCATTCTTTGTCCTGTCAGCCTTGTCTGGGCAAAGAACTTCCTGACCTCCGTGTGAGTTTTGCCTGGGAAAACATTACAAGATGAACTTTTACTGTGATTCAGCAATGGGCTCTAATCTTTTTGTGAAGTACAAAAATGTCAGGTGGTGATCTTTATTTTCTGCTGCCCATGTCTGTTGTGCATAGTGCTGAGGACAACAGGCTGCCAGCTGCTTGCAAAGAGACTTTGATAAAGGAACAGAATTACTTCTAGAAACGATATAATTCTGAGTAAGTCCTGTAATTTGAATGTTTTCCTGTAAGAGTAAAGAAGTACAAGATTGCCTTTTGACTGATGAAAGCAATTTCACACTTAGCTGTAAGTTAAGTTAGTGTTGTTGTTAGTGATGTTGTATATACCTCAAAAACTAGGACAGTGATAATGGCTGGAAGATTGCTGCAGGTGTGACTGGCAGGGAGAATGCCTGGCACCCTTTCATCCTCATGAAAATGCTGTTTGTGGGCTTCTCCTGTGCTGTGATTTTGCTTGTGTGGGACGCTCTGCCTGGGCATGGAATAACAATCTTCTGATTGATAGACTAAGAGGAATGTTAAGAACAAGCAAACAAAAGTCACTGGCACAGCCACACAGAGAATCTGTGGATGCCCCATCCTTGGACATTCTCAAGGCTAGTCTGGGTGGGTCCAAGGCAGCCTGAGCTGATGGGTGCAGCCCTGCCTATGGAAGGATTGTGAAACAAGGTGGGCTTTGAATTCTCTTCAATATAATATCATTCCATGATTCTATTAAAAAAAAAAAAAAAAAAAAAAAAAAAAACAAAAAAAAAAAACATGCAGGAACAGGAACATATATACAGATATCTTTAAAAATAACAAGATATTCCATAGATTGAAAATTGAAGGAATTCTTAAGTGAATTTAACCTGAACTAAAATGTTTTCTATGTCTTAATGTTCTCTACTCAAGAAATATTCCTAATCAAGAGAAAAAAAGTCTGGAGGAGAACATACAAAGGGAGGTGCTTTTTGCTTTGCAAGCATACTTCACACCTTAAAACACATACAGCCCATGCCCAACCGTGCTAAGACTTTTCAGAAGATGTACCTTTGGTTCCGTGTGTTCTCTGCGAGGTAACTGGCACAGCTCTCATCCCAGGTGAAAGCGGGGTTGTCCAGAGAGTAGGCAGGGCAGAAGTGAGCAGAGCTGGGGCTGGGGATGGGAGAGACACCAGGGGAGACGGCCCCGCAGCAGCTGAGCACAGGGTGCATGTAGCCAGGGCTGGTGGCTGCACTGTCCAGTGCTGGGTAAGGTGGGGGGATGTACTGCACCACCGTGGCACCGTGGAAAGTTATGGGTTGGTTGATTCCGGTGAACACGAAGGACTGTCCGCTTGCGTTCTGTTCGACGTCTAATGTGTTCTCCTCTCTTTCTTTGCAGGGCTTGCATGTAAGCATGTTGAACTTGCAAACGGCAATCAGGATGAAAGTTACCCCAACAGAAAGCAGGATAGGCCCTAGTAACTGAGTCCACTCCAGGTGAGTAAGGCCGTCATACTTTATCCACCCCATCACGGTGAATGTGATCCCCACCAGTCCCAAGAACACACCTGAGAAAAGCAGAGTGGCACCAGCTTTGTCCCCATCTGACACCAGGGCATCAGACCTACTCGGTGGGTAAGGAGTGACAGAAAACACATTCAGGGAGAAATCCTCTACGTTGCTGTTGTTCTGTTCCATCACCAAGTATCACGAATCTTTCTCAGCAGAGAGGGGTTTGCAAGGTACTCTGCAGAGCATTGAAAGTTGAAGGTTCAGGTTAATTATACAAGGACGCTGTGCGTGTATGGTTAACAGAGTCCATCATGTGAAAGAACAAACTTTGCTTACAAGAATAAAGGTCTGGGAAGTGGAGCCTGAAGTGACCACTAAAGACTTCTTGCTTTACCACCACTGCTTCCGAAACGGCTTCACCCTTGCATGGCTACTTATCTTTTTGATTATCCTCTTCTTCAATTTGGCCCTCACGAATATTTCCTCACCCTGCCTGTGCCAAATGGGAGAGAAAGGAAGTGGAGATCCCTGAAGCTTATCCTAGGCCCCCTGCCAGCCAATGCATCCAACATATGGACAGCATACATCACTCCATAGCAGCACAATGACTCACTCACTTTCCTTGGGCCACCAATTTGGCAACTCATGTCTACAGGAAGATACGTGGCCTTTGCTGCTGTGCTTCAGAGCCCTGTGAAGTGTGATGGTTATAGCCATGTCCAGACCATGCTGCAGCTGGCCCTGCAGCCCAGAGCTTCTGTGGTTGATACAGATATCAAAGGAAGCTTGCTGAGAGTTTGATGGGAGGGAGTGGTTGGCGGGTGGGGAGGTAAACAAAAACAGGGCATTGGAAAGACTGCAGAAGCTGCTGATTGTGGTAGAAATTTTGCTTTCAGCAAAAGCCAGGGCTGTTTGAAGACAGCATAATTAGTGATTTCCCCTTAATTGTGGACATTTTTCTTATGGAATTGACACCCCTTCCTCAGAGTTTAGACTGATTAAAACCCAGATATGCTGTCACTGTGTGGAAATGTCTTCTGTAATGTTGGCAGAGCAAGGGATCTTGACCTGTATGGTAAATGTTGTATTCAGCAGTACCTGGAACATTATATTTTTCTCAGAAATTATTTAATCATTTGGAATCCTTTCTGACAGCAATGTGTGGCTTGTATATCCTGTCCTTTCCCTGAATACCTGGCCTTCATGATTGACACTGGCACTGCAATAATGGCAGGATAACACAGTGTCCTGTGGCAGCTGTTTTGCACCCAGCATGTACCTAAGCTGTGAGCAGAAGCATGTTCCCATCTTCTCCCACTGCAGTAAATATCATAGCATGATGGGGCTCTATGCAAGAAAGCACCAGGATTATTTACCTATCTGCCATATATTAAACAGACAAATGAATTGAATGTTGAGACTTTCTGTTTCCTAATGATTTCAGACAAAAGTAATTGCTGCCAGAGTGTTCTGGTAGAACGCTTCTGTGTAATTCCTTACAGAGGAAAAGTCTTCCACTACTCAATCTGTTTTGATTAGCATAGCAGGGAAGCACATACAGTACAGAGATTACTCCTCAGGAGGTAGAAAGCATAATGCTATTTCCTGCTACCAGCAGCTCTGGGGAATCAAGCTTATCCTGAGGTTGTTGGAACAAAAATAGCTCTAGAAAACTCACCTTCTTTTGGATGGCTTCTTCACAACTAATGAAAGTGCCTTGAGCTACTGTGCTCTAAGATCAGTTCTGAACATGACTGCTCACCAAAACTTTCCGAGGAGATGCTGGGATACTGCTGTGTCTTTCTCTTCTCATTTGTCAGCAGAGACACCCTGAGAAATGTTAATGCTGAATTCCCTTTAAAATGTCCAGGAACTTTTCAGAGTCATTATTATGGCTCTTCTGTTACCGAAGGTGCCAACAAAATTTCTGACAAGATCACGGATTCGCCCTTCTCCCAACACCAGGTAAAGACTTGAGGAGAGGGTCAGGGTTTGTAACCAAATTAAGAACTGCTGAAATATTAGATAAGCCATCATTGCACTGGTAATTATAGCTAAAACCTACATCATCTTTAATCTTTTATCTGTTTAAATACATTGAATGAACTTCTGTTACTGCTCTCTGTGTGTCAGGTTTTTCCATACCATGAATCACTGTTGCCTCCATTTGCTTAATCTTCCAAGCTTTCCAACATTCTCTTTAAATCAACGTATTACAATTGCTGTCTTTGCGCTGATGTTATGTGGAGATGTAGTATCACATCAGATGTAGTATCTACTCTCAGTCATTCCAGTGTCCAGTTTTGGGCCCCTCACTGCAAGAAAGATATTGAGGCCCTGGAACGTGTTCAAAGGAGGGCAACAAAGCTGGTGAGGGGTCTGGAACACAGGGCTTATGAGCAATGAGCTGAAGGAGCTGGGAATGTTCAGCCTGGAGAAGAGGAGGCTCAGGGGAGACCTCATTGCTCTCTATAACTTCCTGAAGGGAGGTTGTAGTGAGCTGGGGGTCGGCCTCTTCTCTCGTGTCATTGGTGATAGGACCAGGGGGAATGGTTTCAAGCTACGGCAGGGGGGATTCAGGCTGGACATGAGGAAGTATTACTTTTCAGAAAGGGTGGTCAGGCACTGGAATGGACTGCCCAGGGAGGTGGTGGAATCACCGAGCCTGGGGGTGTTCAAGGAAAGGCTGGATGTTGTGTTGAGGGACATGGTTTAGTAGGAGCTATTGGGAATAGGTGAACGGTTGGACTGGGTGATCTTTTAGGTCTTTTCCAACCTTGGTGATTCTACGATTCTATGATTCTATGATTCAAGTGCTCTGCAACTGTTATTTACAAGAGAGTTGTTCTGGATCCTTTCCTTGGGCCCTCTGTAGGGGTGGTGCTCAGATGCTGTATGGAATCAGAGATTTCCTGTATTGCAGCAGTCCTTGGGCTATGTTCCTTGTCTGTGGCCAGGGATATGGTATATTTCTTGCTGAGGACGTGCACAGCAAAGCTGGAGAATACGAGTGATTTCTTCCAAGACTAATTGCCATTTCAACTTTGACGATCGGATGAATGAAAATTTCACTTTTCCTTGTAAAGAACATTTTTTTTTCTAACCTTCCCCACATTTTTCCCACTGTTTCCCCAAGGAGTGCCAAAGCCAGGCAGATGTCAAGGTCTTAAGAGATTACCAAATCACATGGATTTTTTAAGGCCAATACTTTCCTTTTCCAAGTGGATGTTCTGGGAACTTACTTACAGACAGTGATTTAATAAACACACCCCTTTTAACTGGAATAACTGCTAAATGAATGGTGGTGAAAACAATCTGGTGAAACACAGGAAATGGGCTTGAATGTGTTTTCTAAAATCTTTCTGTTTTAATTGCAGTAGAGCATCATGCAGAATATTACTCTCAGTATTGTCAAGCAGAGAAATGGGAGACTATATCCCCATTATCTTCAGGTAGCTCAAAGGCTGGCTTCTGGACCCTTTTTCAGAATGGATACTGTATTCAGACCTCTCTGCAGTGTTATTCCAATCTGCTTCAGGGACCTTACTCCTAAACTCAGCCACCGCTTTGCTTACTGTTCCTCTGCATAACTGTCTTGCTTTGGGAAGACGTTTTTCTGAGGCTTCCTGTATCTTCTTGATTCTCTAACCCAGTTAAAGAGTCTTCCTAGCAGATACTAACAGGTCTCAGGTCATCTTTCCTTTCTCCTCTCTATCTGCTATCAATTCTTCCGTGCTTCACAACATTAGTCTGTCATAGTAAGGTTTTGTTTTCTTATATTTCTTACACAGAATCAGGGGCCTAGCTATAGAACCTCTAAAAGAAAGCTAGGCTTTATTTTAAAAGAGCTCTTAAAATAGAAGGCACAAAATACAACTCCATAATACGATTTTCAACTGCAGAGTGGCTAAAGTGGTTGGACTAAAAGAACTTTTTTTTCCTATAGAAAGGAAACTGTACTTGGCATCCTCAGTGAAAATCACAAATTACACGTTAGTCTATCAACTAACCATGAGTGAGCCTCATACCCTGTGGCCCTGTACTGCCGCAGTGCCAGCCCCAATGCTGAAACATGCCAAACGGAGCCAGTTCAGCCAGCTGCCCTCAGCAGTTTCTAGCTACAGGATGGGTTCTCTCCCAGGGAATGCTGTCATGCCAGATGTCCAATCAAGTAAAAGGTGTTTCCATACACAAACACATGGATATACACATGTATGGTCGAGGAGGGAGCACAGTTCTACGTGAAAGCAGACACATCAACTGCAGAAGCATGGAAGCACTGGCAGAAATGTCTGCCTGGACACAGATGTGACCCATGAATGGTGACTTTAGAAGGTAGGATAGAAAGGGGATAGAGTGATATGGTGTTATAAGTGGCAGAGGTCAAGGACGGGGCTATCCTAAAAACATGCCACCATTTAAAAAAATCATTGAAATTTCAGTTTTACAGATGAGTTTGTTTTCAAAATTTCTGGGTGCTGGGGATGCAGGAAGAAACTTATCCTTGAAAAGAGTTATCCCTTCATGCATTTGTGAACTTCTCATATCCAAAGGGTGATACTGATCCAGTTAGAAGCTAAGCAATGACAGTGCAAACAGACCTTAACTTCACTTAGAGAGGATAAGCAGTCCTTACCTCCCACTTTGCCTGTTTAAGTATGTGAATCAGTAACTAACTTGATTTGCTTGCTAGAATTTGCATGTCAAGCACTTAAGCTAACCTTAAGGTATTAAGGGGGTTATAAGATCACTACTACAATAGTAAAGTAAGTCATTTCCTCAACAAAATGGCTATTCTGTGTTATTTTAAGCTACTTTTATAGTTTTACAAGGTGATGCTTTCTTTCTAGTATGGGCGTTTTACCCCTACTCCCCACATAAAAAAATTCCTCCTACTAATATTGTTCATGCAGTGGTGGCCATCAGTGGTGCATGTGGAGCTGCCAGTCTTTTTTTCACATTTTCTACCTTGCTGAAATAGATTTTGACAACTCAGTAAGCAAATGCTGTTGCCCTGGCGTTGAGAGCTGTCAGTGTTCAAAAAGTCATGGAAATGCACTTAGCACACCCAGGGAATTTTAAAGGAATGACCACTCAATTCAAAAATAGAAGGTGCTTACACAGCTGTAAGATGAACTATTTAGTAGGCAACTTTCTCAGGATGATACATAGGAAATTTCTGTTGCAAAGCCTTATTTTAAAGAGTAAGTAAATCCACCACTCCC